AGATTCAATCCCAGTTGTGGGACTGGGGACTTGAGCTGTTGGGCATCAAATATTTGAATGGAGAACCAGATAATAGATGTCTTTAAATTGCATTCTATCTAAAATCAATCCAACATCTCTGAAGGGGAGCGAGACCCTGCAAATTTTCTAGTGACTGTGTGTTAGTAAGTGGAAATTAAGGGTAGAGGATTCATTTCCTAAAGTAGAGATACATAAAGTGACATTTATAGTCTCTAGGTATGTCATCACCATCCTTTTAGATATACTTCAGGCCTGAGTCCTGAAGTGGAGCAGAATTTGATACCCCAAAATATGCCTCCTTTCATAGGATTATTTTCGGCTGATTATCTTTAAGAAACTGCAGATACAGGAGAAGCTCTGAAAACGGAGAAGTTACTCTTTTTTAAGAAAAATTAATATGTATAAGGGAAATCCCTATTTGTAAGGGTGTCTCCCTCACTGTACCAGGAAGAGGGGGATGACTCAGTCTCTAGAAACTTATCACTGGAGAAGGCAAGGACTTAAATCTGCATAACCACCTTACCCTTGTTTACTGTGCTTTTCCTGGTCACCTGCCATAACTGACCCCTCACCCCCAATGTCTTTTTTCTGTGGCTGAAGAAGGTATTTGGGTGATGGCTTGGGTCATTTCAGTGAGTTATTCAGTTTTCCTGGGTCTCTCCTGTGTTTACAGGAGGTGTACATATTATTAAACTTCTGATGTTAATCTTTCTTTAATTTCAGGGTCTCAGCCAAGAACCTACAAGGGTAGAGGGGAAATTATCGTTCTTTTCCGACAGGCCCCAGATCTGTCTCTCAGCCGTTCCTGCAGAGTTGTCATGGACATGACCTTCAGCGGTGGGGAGGGAATTCTCTAAAGTAGATTCTGGTTTGAGAAAATGTGGGCATCGCATTTGTTGTGTCCACAGCCCCAGGCAGGTGCTCCCAGGATAATTGTTCATTATTCTTCACTATTTCCAGAGCCTACTGTGGGGAAAGGCCTCACACTTAGTAGAGGAGGGGAGCTCTGTCCGGAGGGAAGCAGGAACCTGCTGTGGTATTTAGCCAGCAGCCCAAACACTGCCTCTGTGGAACCTACACGCAGCGGGTTCAGGTGCATGGACTGTGTCTCCTTTGTTTGTTTTTTCCTGAATCTGTATTTTCTTTGTATCAAGGGCCAAGTTAGTGTCTTTGACTTTACCTTGGAGAATAATTTAGTTGTTCATTCAACAAATATCTGAGCGCCTACTCTGTGCCTGGCCCTGTTCCAGGCACTGGGGACAGAGTGGTGAAGAACATGGCAACAGTCCTTGCCTTCTCGAGTGTTCATGCTAGTGGGTGAAGGGCAATGGGTAAGGTAATGAGCGAGTAAATTGTAGGATAGCTCACAGAGCCCGGGGAGTGGTCACGAGGGGTTAAGAGAATGCATTTGGAGTAAGACAACCTCAATTTGAGCCCCAGCTCCGCCACCCGCCACTGCATGAGCGGGCAGGTCAACCTCTCTGCACCTCAGTTTCCCCATCTGTGAAATGAGTTGATGATGCTGCTGTCCTCAGAGGACTGTTGTAAGGATTAAATAAGTTAATATATATGAAGCAGTTCCAGGAGTCCCTGGCAAATAGTAGGTGCTGTTAGATGGCTGCCATGCTGTAATTGTGCCAGAGGTGGTGAGGGTTATGGGAGCAAAGGGAGGAAGGGGAGGGGGTGCCAGCTGGGACTGGGAACTGCAGGTCAAAAGGGATGATCAGGGGCCGGCCCCGTGGCTTAGCGGTTAAGTGCGCGCGCTCCGCTGCTGGCGGCCCGGGTTCGGATCCCGGGCGTGCACCGATGCACCGCTTCTCCGGCCATGCTGAGGCCGCGTCCCACATACAGCAACTAGAAGGATGTGCAACTATGACATACAACTATCTACTAGGGCTTTGGGGGGAAAAAAAATAAATAAATAAAATTATTAAAAAAAAAAAGGGATGATCAGGGTCGGCTTCACTGAGAAGTTCTCATTGACTAAAGCCTTGGAGGAAGTGGTGGAGTGTGCCACGTGGGTATCTGGTAGGAGCACTCTGCATCCGCAAAGGCAGCTGGTGGAAAGACCCCAGGGGAGAGCATCTGGCCTGCTCATGGAACAGCGTGGCAGTCAGCAGGGACTGACCTCACTCCAGGCCATAGGGCAGGGATGGAGTGAGGTCAGGGAACAGGCAACAGACTTGGCAGCCAGTCTAAGGACTTGGGCTGTTACGCTGAGAGACATCTGGGGCCGTGGGAGGGCACAGGATTGGCAAACTCTGAATTATACTTTAATAGGGTCATGGTGGCTGTGGAGAGACTGATTAGGGAAAGATGATGGTTCCATTGACCACACTGGTGGAGGTGATGAGAAGAGCTCAGATGCCTAATAAACCTGAAGGTAGAGCCAACATGATTTCCTGACATGACTGGATGTGGGGCATGAGGGAGAGAGGGGCATTAAGGATGACTCTGAGCTGTTTTGCCTGAGCCGACATGACAGAGCCACCAATGACTGACGTGGCGAAGTCTGTGGGTACAGCAGGTTTGGGGGACCTGGGGGTTCAGTTCTGAACATGTCAGACTTGAGATGGTGTATTTGTTTCCTGGGGCTGCCATAACAAAGTACCACACACTATGTGGTCTAAAACAACAGAAATTTATTCTGTCACAGTTCTAGATGCCAGAAGTCCGAAATCAAGGTGTCAGCAGGTCCATGATCACTCTGAGATCTGATTAGAATCCTTCCTTGCCTCTTCCAGCTTCTGGTGTTCGCCGGCACTCCTTGGCATTCCTTGGCTTGCAGCCACATCACTCCAGTCTCTGCCTCTCTTGTCACATGGCTGACATGGTTCTCCCTGTGTGTCTGTGTCTTCACATGGCACTCTCCTCTTCCTATAAGGACACCAGTCATATTGGAGTAGGGCCCACTCTAATGACCTCATCTTAACTTGATTACGTCTGCAAAGACCCTATTTCCAAATAAGGTCCCATTTGCAGGTACCAGGTGTTAGGACTTCAAAGTATCTATTTGGGGGACATAATTCAACCCCTGACAGATGGCTATTAGACGTCCAGGTGGAGGTGTGGAGTAAGTAAAGCCTGGAGCTCAGGGAGAGGCCTGGGTTGGAGATGAAGTTGGGGAATCATCAGCACTCGGAAGGCATTTAAAGCTGTGAGACCTGATGGGCTCACCACGGGGGTGAGTGTGGATGGAGCCCAGAAGTGGTTCCAGAGCTGGGAACCCTGGGAAACTCCAGCACACTGGGGAGATGAGAAGCGCCCAGCAATGGGACTGAGATGGGTAGTCAGAAAAGGAGGAGGAAAATGAGGAGAGTGTAGTGTCCTTGAATCCAAAGGGAAGAACTATTTCCAGGAGGAGGGAGTAACTGAGTCAGATTCTCCCAATGGGTCAGTAAGAGGAGGACCGAAAACTCTGGATTTAGCAAAACCGTGGGTTTTGACAAGAGCAACAGCACGATCGGTGATGAGATAATCTAGGTAAACACTTACCAACTTGGATTTCCTTATCTATAGTTTTATGAACTTGATTCTCAATATTTGGGCTTATATCTACATATTCTGTTTATTTCTAAAAGATGTCTTCATTCTGTAAGGAGTTGGCTATGTGTCTGTACTTGGGATAGATGCTGGGCATAAAAAGATGGATATCATATACTTCCAACCCTTGGGTATCATTGTCTACTAGGGGAAACGATGAAGCAACTAAAATACAGCGCAGTAGCTCAATATCCTTGGTCACTGGGGTAATACAAATTTAAACCACAGTGAGATATACCATTGCACACCCACTAGAATGGCCATAATAAAAAAGACCAACACCACCAAATCTGGAGAGGAAGTGGAGCAAATGAACCAGATGGACCACTGATACATTGTTTGTGGGAGTGTAACTTGTCTTATCTACTTTGGAGAACTATTCAGCAGTTTTTTAAAAAATATTAAAAATATATCTATCGTATGACACAACAACTTTCATTCCTGGGTCTTTACCAAAGAGAATGGAAACATAGGTCCACAGAATGACTTATACAAGGATGTCCATAGCAGGCTTATTCATAATAGCCTAAAACCGGAAACAACCCAAATGTCCATCAAGAGGAAGATAGATAAGTTGTGATATATCCGTGCAAAGGAATACTACTCAACAGTAAAAAGAAGCAAAGTACCGATACACACAACAATATGAGAGAAGCTCAAAAACAGGTTGAGCAGAAGAAACCAGACTCAAGAAAACCCCCCACGATTACATTTAGATAATGTCCAGGAACCAGGGAAACCGATCCGTGGTGACAGAAGTCAGAAAGTGGTTGCCTGTGAGGACCAGGAGGGATTGCCTGCAAAGGAGCGTAAAGGGACCTTTCAGGAATAATAGAAATTTCTGTGTCTTGGTTTGGGCGCATACCTTGTCAAAGCTCACCAGTCGAAAATCTAAGATCCTGCATTTTTATTGCATGTAAATTACACCTCATGAAAACTAAAAAAGAATACCTGTGACAGGTGTTCTCAGGGCTATGCAGCAGAGATGAGGGAATCCCAACCGCCAGGAGGAGGCCAGGGAGGCATCCTGCGGAGGGGAGGCCCCGCTGGATCAGGATTTCCAAGTGAGATTGGAAAGACAGGAAGAGGGCTATCCCAGCCAGGTGACCCACCTGGCCAACAGCCCAGGGTGAGGAAGGGCTTCACCTTGTTAGCAAGTACCGATGGCTTAAAAAGGAAATTCCAGTTATTTCACTGAATTTATTTTTTTTAAGGCATGTATGTATCTTGGGCAAAACTGTTTCCCCCTTCTGCTGCAAGCTTCTTACTGGACTATGTTCAGATTTCAATTTTATAACAGCGTTTTTAAAATTTCTAATCAATATAAGTTTTTTCCAAGTAACAAATTGTTCTTAGTACTTACCTTTGAAACGAATTATTTAAGAATGTTACCCGATTCAAGTAACCTGATGGTTTTTATTTTTTCCCCTTAAAAGCTGCAGATTCTCGTTGACACTGGAAGCAGCAACTTCGCTGTGGCGGGTGCCCCGCATCCCTACATAGACTCTTACTTTGATGCCAAGAGGTGAGTGATGGGTCCGTGGCTGGGCATGGCCAGGTTTGGGAGTGTCACACAAATACCTCAAAATATGCTGGAACAAAACAGCCAGAAGTCCGTTTCATTTTAAGGGGGATATATGTATGTATATATTTTGTGTGTTTATGTGTATATTCGTATGTATATGTATATATTTGCGTGTACGTGGATATGTGGATATGTGTATATTTGTGTGTATATGTAGATATTTGTGTGTATGTGTAGATATTTGTGTGTATGTGTAGTATATGTTTGTGAGTATGTGTATACCTTTGTGAGTATATCTGTGTGTTATATATATATATATATATATATATACACATGTGTATGTTTTCATTCCAGGGAAATCTATAAGGGGATTCTCCTGATAGCCTTGGCGCAGTCCCGTGAGATTCACTTTATAAAAACTCAAGTCAGACAGAAGTTTTGTGGTTGTACCTGAGTTGCAGAGAGCGCTGATCCTTTGATGTTATTCAGGCCCTCTTGTCCTAAAGTGGAGGTGGCCTCAAGCAGAGAGAGGAGCTTGGGGGTGAGTGTGAGACTGTTCTGGGCGAGGCCCTGAAAGCCACCTTTGCTGTGGCCCTGAAGTTCAGCAGAGGTTAAGGTGTGGCTCATTGAAACCATTCCTGTGCAGGGAGGTGTTTCTGGGTGAGACACGTCCATGCCTTGTTAGGAAAGGATAAGTGTTGTAAGCACAAAGCCTTTAGGCCTAAGACCAGGGCTCCAAGCTAGCCGTTGTGGGGTGGGGTTATGAGAAAAGATGGGAGCCAGATGGAGGTCTCCGGAATAAAGCCAGCTCTGCGCCCTCTGGGCCCTGAGCTGCAGAGCAGCCCTGGGGGTGGTCCAGGGAGAGTTGGGGCCTCTTGTCACCGTTCAGCTCCAGAGGAGCCCGTGGGGTCCCGGAGCTGCTCTCATGCTGTGCACGTTTTGATCTCACATCTGTTTTTGGGACCCTAAAATTTAAACTCAACAGATAAAACAAGTAGGCTGACATGTGGTGGGCTTTTAGGGTCGTGAACTGGCGACAGACTCAGAACCGTCCCATCAGATTTCCCTCCTGTAAGTCCTCTTCGTGTTTTCCATTCTCACTTTCCTCAGCTGCAGTCTTTTGTTCCCAGGAATAAACCTAGCTAGGGGAAAAAAGGAGGGGAAAATGGAAGGGGGGGGATAATAACAGAAGTTTCTGAAAATACCAGCCTATTTCAATAGGCAGAAGGCTTTGCCGTGTGTAAAAGTAGTGCTTATCTGCTTTCTGCGGGTACCACATCTCGGTCTCCCATTGTGGTGGCTCGAAGAGGTGTGGTCTCCCGTGTGTACAGCTGGAGGGGAGTGGGAGAGAGTGCTATACAGAGATAGCTAGTTGGCCCCTCCTTCAAGGAACTTATAGTTCAGTTTATGACTCAGTGTATTGATAATCTTTCCTCGTTGATATTCCAGGATGAAACTCCTGGCCACTGGTGGCTTTGTGATCAAGAAGACTAACATGTGCCCTGAAGCTGTGGCTGTAACCACAAATACATGTCAAGTGGGGGAAGGATATTTCTCTGTGTGTGCAGGCAGGGGAGGGGGTGGGCTTATGATGCATGGGCACCCCTTTGCCCTTTCCTATTCAGATTGGTGGTTCGTCCAGATCCTCTGCCCTAACCAGCCCCCACCCCCAACTGCTCACTCTGGCCTGCTTCATTGTAGAACAGAACTTCGAGTTGGTCCAGACCTCTTGTTTTCCCTCATGTAGCACAAGAGAACGAGGAGGCCAAGAGATTTGCTGAGGTTCAAGCTTTTAGGTCAGCAGTTCCCAAACCTTCAGCCCCATCACCCCTTTTTGATAATGAGTGCTTTGTGATGCCCTGAAGTGAAATGCAAAGGTATCATAAATCACCCACATACATGACTCTAAATGCCCCAGTGTGATATAGGGAGAGTAAGAGGTAATTGATGGAAAGGTGATCAGTACCTCAATATGTAAATACTCTGGGTCGACTGTAGTGGAGACACGTGAAGCCGGAGTATGCACGAGGCTGTGAGCATCACCGCGAGCGTGTGGCACCCAGTGTAGACTAACAAAGGTGGTTTATTAGTTTTTTGAAATAGACTCAGACACCCAGAGCAGCTTGGGTTGGTGATATGGTTTTCCAAGTAGGTGAAGAATCTTGGTAAAACTCCCCCCAAAGTATCACCTTCCCCCCAATTTATAAAGTATTTGCAGTCCTTGAAAATGCAACGTGTATCGAAACTACGTAAAAAATGTTTATCTCGGTGACAAAGCAATCCTAGCCCTATATCTTTTCCACTAGGAGGCTATAGTCTCTACATTTACCCAGGTTCCCCATGCCTACCGCAGGGCTCAGAACACACGGACCTGGAGCTGAGTTCCATGCCATGCTAGCAGGTTTCCTCCCCCTGGAGTAATTTTGGTTTTCATCACGCATCTATAGACACATGATACAACAGAAAAAAAAAAGAAAGTACAGCGTAGTAAAGCCAAAGTTAGAGTGATGTGTATAGTTCCTTTATAGATTTAAATGTGCAAATTTGCCACCATGGATGGTTATTTCCTTCCCAGTAGGTAAATGGTAGTTCTTTGGCAGCTGCCCATAGCCAGGGTTTGATAGAGGTCAAAGTGCACGTTTCAAGCCAGACACCCTTTTGCAGATGCAGCTACTGAAACATTCAAGGGTCAATAATAGTCAACAGTACAAATACTGTGTACAATGCCATCTAATACGTGTACAGTATTTAATCAACTATAGACAACTGGTGTCTTTCTCATTTACCTTCCACTTTGTTCACTGTTTGGTTGGACCATGGTTCTCTTTCAGGCTTTGGTAGGACACATCTTTCTAACTTACCTGCTAACCTTGCTAACTAGGTTTGTGTTCAGGTAGCAGATGTCCTTCTTTTTCATACTTAAATATGGAACTTCTCTGGCTCCTTTGCACCTGACTTAAGGTGGAAACACCTGAGAACATCCATAGCTCCCCAGATGGCTAGGCCTTCCCTCCTGCTAACCCCACAAGAGAATTTAGGGCTCCCTTCAGCTTTCTGGGCACTCAAGGTTCTCATCTGTTTCTCCTTTCACTGACAAACAGAGAAATAACAGAAGCCACCGATGTGCAGGGGAAGCCCAGATGTCCCCTCCGTTGTCAGTGTCATCCACTGGCACTTCCATCATTCAGACTTCAGCTGGCCCTCCTTATTTGCAAGTGTTGCTGAAATTTACTTGGTACCTGTAGAACATCGCCCACATTTTGGGCCTCTAACCCTAAAACTGCCTTTCTTTTAGAGAGAACCATTCTTCAACAGCCTGTCATGTTTCTTCTTAGCTGAATCAGATGTGAAGTGTCACATTTCGGGGTTTTGGGCAAATTCTGTTCCATCAACTGCACCCCTACTAACATGCGTGTTTTGCAGGTTAAGTACCTGCTTAGATTGGTGTTCTAAACCTTCTTTTTTCTCCTTTCCTCTATTTTTTTCCCCATACTTCGCATAGACTTATGTATTTATTATTGTAAAGATATGAACTAGAAACATAATGTAAATTATGTATGATTAATTTGTCTAATGCTTTCAGCTAACTTTAGAGTTGGCCTAAGGTACACTTTCCACCATCATATTTGATGGAAGCCAAGAGAATGTTCTTACTTCCTTCCTCAATTTTTAACAAAGCCTTCTTTTCTGAGATGTGGCTTCCTGCCCTATGATGTTTCTGTATTTGCTTGTCCCTCTGATCTCCCTTAGTTATAATAAGGTTTAGGTTGGGTTTGTCACCCTCTGATTCAAGTCCCCCAGTCTTTGGATATTCAGGTTTAATGCTTCCTGAAACATTTCCCAGTAATTGGAGATTTGGCTTGGGGTTCTTTGACAAGATCTCTTTGATTTATGGAATGAGATGTCAGGCTACTGTTAGTCATTTTTGTAGCTTGTTCCCATCAGAAGCCTGCTTTTCATGGCGGTGAATGTTCCAATGAATTACTATATAGCAAAAAGACAATGGTGTGGTTTTTTAGATACACTTCTTTTTTAGCCAGTAAAATAGCCTCCAGCCAGTCAGCTTGATGAGATGTCCAGTATACTCGTCCATCTGACCTTCTCCTAATCTATTGAGTAAATTAAGTATAGTTCCTTTAAAGTATTCCTTCTCCCATACTCCATCTGGGGTGAAGCCCACAGAGTGTGGTTGTGGCAAGGGAGCAATTTCTTTTCCTCAACTGATGCGTGTAAGTAGAATTAGGATATCAGAGAATTACCTGGTGACCTCCTTAAGGAGGCTGAACTGGACCCTGGAGACCAAATGCCTCATATCCCCACGTGATGATGACAGACATTTTTGCTTGATTATTTAGATAATTTCTCAAGTCCACCGTTGTTTGCCTGTCCAGGACGGGACTTGCCCTATTGGAGCTCTTGAGCATTTGCCATTGCTGAGGATGTTGATGAACCTGCAGGATGGGCAGGCTAGCTGAGCAGCCCTTGGCTGTCAGTGGCCCAATCCACTCTGGTCTGGTCACTTCCAGAACCGTGGAAGAGTAAGAGGGGTATCTTGTCTCCTGGACCAGGCCAGCAACCTTGAAGGTAGATTCTGAACTCTGAAATGTGCAAAAGAGCCCCAGGGAAGTCTCGGGAAGAGTTCTTTAGGATGTTCCCTGGTGGGATGACTTAGGAGAAGCAGAGCTGCGGACCCAAGGATTCAACTCTTTTGAATTCTGCCCTTCCAAACTTTCTCTTTTTATTTTCTCTGAAAACAATAATGGGGTTCTTTTAAAATAATAAAATATTCTGTGGCTCTTCCCTCCTCAAGTTCAGTTAATTTCACTTTTCAATCCCGCGTTCCCTGAACGCTCTCATCAGAGGCAGAACATCTCCTGAATTTGGTTCGAAGTGATTTTATTGCTGTGAGCAGACTTTTTCCTGGCGACCCACATCCTTGATTGGTTGCTGTTTCTGAGCACTCAGGATGGACGCTACAAAGGAGAAGCCAATCTAGGGTTCTCTCTCAATATAATCACTTAATGTGCAGAGCGATTGAGAACCAAAGCGTTTTAGCACCAAGAGGTAGAATGTTAGAACATGAAGACGGAGGAACGCATTTTCTTTTTAAGTTTTGTGCTGGAAACTATACATTAATAGCCCTTAGAGCTGCTCCCAGTTCATCTCTGGGGTTTTTGCTCTTTTAGGTTTAGTTTAAGGAGCTCAGGGAATATGAGCTTAGAATTACTTTTTTCTTACATTATCTAGGACTATGCTTTCTACAAAGGTAACCTCTAACCACACGGGGCTATTTAAATTTAAATTAATTAACTTTAAATGAAAGTTCAGTTCTTCAGTCACACTATCATCACATTTCATGGGCTCAGTAGTCACTTGTGGCTACCATATTGGCCGACATAGATGGAGAATATTTTCGTCATTGCAGCAAGTTCTCTTGGACAACACTGGTCTAGAAACCTGGAAGGCTCCCCCACCTCCCCTCGGTTAAGGTGGACCACCTTAACCAAGTCATCCCCCCCAGACGTGCCCCTTTGTCATGGGGGTAGTTGGATTTCAAAATGGGATGGTTTTGGATATTCAGTAAGAGTAACTCTATAGGAACATTTTCTAGAAAAAAAAGTTCTCACCTTTTCTAACCTTTTCTAATGGTAGCTCATAGATTGAATAAAGGTAGCAAGTGATTAGATAGTTACAATAATAGCTATTTTTGTTCCAGGGTTGGATCTAAATGCTTTACAGTATTAACTCTTTTCCTCCTCAAAATTAGCCGCATGAGGTGTGGTACTATGTTCCCATATTTCAGTTGAGGAAAGTGAGGCACAGAGAGGTTACGTAACTTGACCCAGGTCACACACAGCTAATAAGTGGTTGAACTAGCATTTGAACCCAGGCAGTGTAACTCCAGCTACCTCTCATATCTCTGCTAATGGCACCAGAATATCCAGAATGTTCCCCTCATGAGGGGAATAGCAACCTGGTCAGGAAACTATAGAAGACATGCTAACCAGATGTTCGGGCTCTTCTTGTTAACGTTAGCAGATTCTACTGAGTTTTCTGTAGCCTGGACAGAGTAAAAATATAACTGCTTCTCCAAAGAAAGGCATGGTACTTTAGACTGTTTGGGGAATGGCAAACCAGGGCCCACAGGCTACATCTGACCTACCACCTATTTTTGTAAATGAAGTTTTAGTGAGACACGGCCACGCGTGTTTGTTTATGCACTGTCTGTGTCTGCTTCCTCATTAAACTTGCAGAGCCGAGCAGGTGTAACGGAAATCATGTGACCCACAAAAGCTAAAATTTATTTTCTGGTCCTTGGCAAAAGAAGTTTGCCTACCCTATACTAGATCATATTCTCCAAGCATCTCAAGATAATTAGCCTCTCCTGTGAGCAATAGTGTCTTCTCGACATTGAAGAATGACCCCAAATTATCAAAAGGGACTGAATGATTGAGTATTTTCATTGCTATTCAATATTAATGTGTGTGGCCCCTGCTGTGTGCCAGCACACCCAAATCAACACTGGCACTAAACTTGGCATTCAGCCAATCCTCAAGTGCCCATGTTTCAGTGACCTGACTGTGCACTTCACCTGTGTCATTTCTGGTGGGTCCCTTAGTCCTCCCTGTATGCCCAGGGTCCAACCACTGTGACTTTTCCATCTGTGTCTGCCCTGGTCAGGAGCTGTGCGCACACAAAATGTTCACTTAATGCTGCTCTCACTTTAAGATCATGGTGGAATGAACTAAAATAGTAAGAAAATATTAAAATTAAAATTTTTCATATTTTATATTCCATTATGAAGTTAGAATAAATTAAATTTCTCCAAAATTTGTCTGCCAGACATTTTAAAAATAACTTTTTCCCCCTTATTATGAAAGTTATATATGCAGAAAATGTAGACGAGCCTAACCATAAGAATGAACATCTCCCCCACAAAACCCCACCGTCCAGAGGTAGCACTGTTAATATCTGAGTGAATAAGTTGTTTTGAAGAAGATTCTGCCACATACACAATATTTTCTTTTAACTCAATTTTTTTTGTCATTGAAAATGTCTTAGTAAATAGCATTTTTCAATGCTACATAATCTCATCATATGGCTATACCGTAATCGACTAAACCATTTCCTTTTTGCTGGGTATTCAGGTTGTTTCCAACTGTTTGCTATTATAAATAAAACATAATGTCTCTCTTTGTACGTGAACCTCTGGAATCAAATTCTCAGAAGTGCAATTACTGAATTAATGACTATTCACTTTTTTTTTTTTTTTGAGGAAGATTCTCCCCGAGCTAACATCGGTTCTAGTCTTCCTCTATTTTTTGTATGTGGGATGCTGCCACAGCATGGCTTGATTAGGGGTGTGTAGGTCCGCGCCTGGGATCCAAACCCACGAACCCAGGGCCGCTGAAATAGAACATGCGAACTTAACCACTACGTCACCGGGCTGGCCCCAAGAGTGTTAACTTTTTTTTTTTTCATGAGGAAGGTTAGCCCTGAGCTAACATCCAATGCCAATCCTACTCTTTTTGCTGAGGAAGACTGGCCCTGGGCTAAGATCCGTGCCCATCTTACTCTACTTTATACAGGACGCCACCACAGCATGGCTTGACAAGCAATGCATCCGTGTGCACCTGGGATCTGAACCCACGACCCCCGGGCTGCTGAAGCAGAGTGCGTGCGCTTAACCGCTGCGCCACCAGGCTGGCCCAAGGGTGTTAATGTTTTTAAAGCTTATAAGATGTACAAAAAAAGAAAAAGATCATATCATCTCTGACTTAATTTCCTCCCTGAAGCCAAACAAGACTGTGCTAGTTGATGTAATCCTACAACAAAGACTTATTACATATTAATGTTCAGAGACTTAATATTAAAACAGAGTGAAATGAAAACGGCAGGCAAACAGGAACTCTTTACAATGATGTATTTGCTGATCTGACATTTCTCTTAGGAACTTGATCCTTTTCCTACGGGGAGGGTGGTGTGAACGCCCAGATGTTTGCCTAGAGATTATCCTTGGGTTCCTTCCCAGAGTCCAGCAGAGTTTTCAAACTCAAATGGATGTAAGAATTACTTTATAGGATTGGACACCCCCGGGCCTTGACACCTGCTGTCCTTTCTCCAGGATGTCTCTTCCCCAGAGAGCCACATGGCTCATTGTCTGCACGCAGGTCACACACAAATGTCACTGCCCTCCTTCCCCCTGCTTCCTTTCCTGGATAGCTCTTATCACTCTTTATCACTGCCTGGAATTTTGTGTATTCACTTGTTTGTTGTCTGTCCCTGAAATCCCGAGGGCAGGATTTTCTCTGCCCTGTCCATTGTCTGATCTTGTTAATGTTATTCTGTTTCAGTATCTCTTACCCTTAGAGCTGTATGCATGTGGGGTTGTAGACAGTGTCACAGTGATTTGTGTCACAGCATGTCATTAGCTTCATCCCCCATATTTTGGTGTGAGTATAATTAGCCTTGGGGCATTGGGGGACGGCCCTGAGAAGGAAGCTGTGACATCAGGAGGTATGTGGACTCTGAGGAGGAAGGCCCATGGTGTTGGCGGGTATGGCTTAGTCTTTATTCATCACATTGGTTGGTTGTGTAAATCTGAACTCCAGGCCACTACTGGCACAAGCTGGTGGCACCTGTTCTAGGCTGCCGGCCTCTCCCTGTGTCACAGAGCAGCAGCGCAGGGTCCCTGCAAAGCCAGAGGGCCAGAGGTGCCCAGATTTGGTTGCACCTTGAAAGGCTAATGCAGTAAGGAAAGCACTGGACTTATGGGGTTCAACTTGGGCACAGGGAAGAGTTAAACTCAGGGGCTACGTGTTAACCCCAGTACTTCCCTTCCACATGGCACAGAAAACACTGTTAAATGTTAGTGATGATGTTTTGTGAGAAGTGTCACTTCGTGAACATGAACACTGTTAATTATTAAGAATTGCTTACAGTGGTCTCTCTGTGTTCAGGAGAGCTGTCTTTGCCACCATGACCGGCCATTGGGTCAGACATGGGTACATGGACAGAGTACCATCGATGCCTTTTCTCTTCTTTCTCCAGGTCCAGCACCTACCGCTCCAAGGGCTTTGACGTCACCGTGAAGTACACGCAAGGGAGCTGGACCGGCTTCGTTGGGGAGGACCTTGTCACCATCCCAAAAGGCTTCAACAGTTCTTTTCTTGTCAACATTGCCACTATTTTTGAGTCAGAGAATTTCTTTTTGCCTGGGATTAAATGGAATGGGATACTTGGACTTGCTTATGCTACCCTGGCCAAGGTAAGAAGAATCCAGGATCTACGTAAATCAAGTGATGGGATGAGATTCTGAAAACCAGTCATTGGAGGGGCCGACAAATGAGTCTAGGCTGTCAGAGACAGTGAGAACCTAGTGGTTGAAACAGACCAGTGGTCACACAATTAATTGTATTTCTGATCATTTTTAAAATTTAAGGTAAATGGCACAATTTACCAAGAACCTTCCTGCAAGATCTACTTATAGGATTCCTTTTTTTGTTTGTCCTTTGTTTTTATTTTAGTTGTATTGTTTAAAAATGTTAACAGAATCTGAATCACTTTGATTATGGTGTTTTTTAGGAGTTTTTATTAGGGTAGGATTAAAAGAAAACACATTTATTAAATTCATACCTTCGCACGAAGATGGAGCCTGCAGGTAACCCTGGAACATCAGCAGAGAGAGGTCTCGGCCCCCACCAGGCCAAGAGCATCCTGCTGCTTTTCTGTCACTCAAGAAGCCCTCTGAGGAGACACCTGGAGCCAGAATATGGGCCACTTGAAAATGTGCCTTGGAGATCACCAGCCATTCGAAGCAGTGATGTGCCAAAGAGGAAGTTGGGAACCCGTGCTCACATGAGCATCAGAACCTCCACAAAATGGGGAAAGATAGAGTTGAATGTTCTTCAAATATCTGTCCTTGGGCCGACCGAAAGAAAATAGTGTTGGTGTGCAGGAGGAGGGAGGCAGGCTTGCTCATGCGCTGGGAATTTCCACCAGAAGGGTTCCAGTGGCAGGAGGATTGGACGCCAGGGTGTGTCCCTGTGCTCTGGGAGACCGGGGCCAGTTTGTGGGTACTTCAGCAGAGTAGAAGAGGTCACCTCTCCTGCCTGTAACCGGACTCCACACCTTGGCCTCTCATTGTTCAGTCTCAGGCTTTGAGCCAGATTCAAGTGTGAAACAAAAAGGAAGCTAAGTGGCTACAGAGCAGCAGGCCCGGTGACAACAGAGCCCGCGCTGGTCCATGAGCATCCAAAAGGGAGGGCCTGTTTTCTCTCCCCCTGAGACCATTTGTTCCGGCTCAAGTTTACTAGCAAATGGTTCAGGGAGGTGAGGTGAGGATGGGGGTGAGGGGCCGTGGGCAGGGACAGTTCACCAAGCCTGTGGCTTCTCAAGGTGAAAGAAGAGCCCATCAGGCACTAGACTGAGAACATTACAAGATGCTGATGCCCTTGATTCTCACAACCTCCCCATGAGGCAGGCGTTGTAAGGCCACATTACCCCCATTTTAGAGATCTGCAGACTGAGGGTCAGAAAGGCAGCCAGAGCACAGATCCCAGCAGCACTCCTCATTCTGGCTGCAGAGCCCGAATGGGTTCTGGGTCCCCTTTTTCCTTAGTACGGTAGGGTGAGCTTAATGTGAGATTTGCAGACTGGTTATAACTTACATTGCTAAATATATTTTCACTGACAATGTGACCTTGGGCAAAACATTTCACCTTTTTGTGACTTTGAAAATGAAAGATGAGAGTATGGTGGATTTTGTGCTGATTATTTGGAAGATGGCAGAGTAAAGCTAAATGATCTGGAATTAACAGTATGTAAAACTTCCTTGAGAATAAACTATTTCGGGGTTCTTTTGGGAGTCCAGACTCCCCACATGACCTTTTATCTTTTCATCTATGAAATTCCAAGATTACCAACAGTTGGCTTCAGGTTCCTGGGTTTGAGGAGGCAGTAACAGGGTTCGTAGGAAGCATGGCTGGAAACAGGACTGGAAGGGCAGTCTGGGTTGGCGTTCCAAAGGTGTTTCTGAACTAGCTTAGCTGAGCGCTCAGTGGTGGTCACAGTGTGTGGTGGCCTCTGGTCGATCTCAGGTGCTTCCCACCAAGGATGTGCATCAGAACCACCTAGGCTCTCTTACACTGCAGATGTCTGGGTCCAGCTGCACACCTACTGAATCAGATTCTCTTGGGTTGGTCCTGGGCAACTGTGTGCTTTAAACCTCTCGAGGGATCCTGAGGCACAGTCCTGCTGAAGAATCACTCGACAGAATAATAGATCCTTTACCGTGTACCAGGCACTATTCCAAGCCCTTACTATGTATTGACCCATTTAAGCCCCAGAACAGCTCTTGGAGGCTACTATTATCCCCATTTTACAGATAAGGAAACGAAGGAACAAGTCACTCGGTTAAGTGGTGGAGCCAGGACCCAGTTCCAGATGGTGTTGACTTTCCTGCTTCTCAAGCAGATGGACTAAAGAACACCAGACTGGGTCACCAGCAGACCCACCCATTCCAAGACAGGGCTTCGTGTCACTCACAGACACAAACACAAAGTGTTTAGACAAAGATCACATATAGAGATTGTGCCAGATTCTGCCGGAGATTCCACAGAAGCTAAGAAGGAAGCAAGTAGGAGGCCACATACAAATGAACCAAACAAGTGGGAAGATTTATATATATTTGATAATAGGGCTGTAAGTCTCACTTCCTCCAGAATTATAGTTTTAGTTCTTACAGATAATAAATAATTGTTCCTATATTAACTATAGGTGATCAGACTATGCCTACAGCATCTATGCTGCTACAGTTATGTTTTCATCAAGCACTAACAACTCGTAGGGACTAACTCTACTGTGTCCCAGTTGTCAGAGCTAAATCTAACCTCAAGTCTATTACCTTCCGTCATGACTACCAGCACCTGAGGCCCACCCCCAACTCAGAACTGTTCACAGGCCATCCCTCTTCCTTTTGAGTCCTGGGGAAATGGGGGCGTCCTCTGAATGTATGGCTGCGTGTAAGGGAGGCACAGATCAAATTAGGTCTACTGCAATGTGGTAATGAGGAATAACAGGGTTTTTCACCTTCAGGAGTATAGTATTGTTCCTTTCCTGCTACTTTCCTGATCACCATAGTTCAGTAGACAGCTGGCAGAGCTAAGCCACCTCCCAGGGTCTGGGATCAGAGATGAACTGTCCTCATGGGTCATCATTTGTTTGAGGGATGACTATGACTGAAAGAAGTGAATACGAACTTTTTCTGAAGCTGCAGAGGCAGCTCCTAGAGACACTCCTCTCCTTACTCTGACGTGTCTAAGGTCAGGATCCACCACCTACCCTGGTAACCCACTTCCACCTCTTCTCACGCCCACCTCACAAGGCGGTCATGATGATGAATGCGACAGTCTCTTCATCGCTTCTGGAAACACTCTCTTATTGTTACAACAGAGCCGTACCAAAAGGAAAAATACCAAGTAGTAGGAAGTTCTGCTGGAGGTTTCCAAATTGTTGTACTTAATCATAAGTTTGTTTATTGTTTAACCACAAAAAAATTAAACATAAAGAAATATAATATTGTTTATCATGCCTGGTGTCCACGTTGGGTCCCTCCGTGGCCTCATTATGAGTCATGAAGCTGTTCTTCTTTTTCATCCCCCTGCAGCCATCAAGTTCTCTGCAGACATTCTTTGATTCCCTCGTGACACAAGCAAAAATCCCCAACGTCTTCTCCATGCAGATGTGTGGGGCGGGATTGCCAGTAGCTGGACCTGGTACCAACGGAGGTAGTCTTGTGGGTATCTTTTAGTCTTCAAGGGGTGAAAAATCACAAATCCGTGGGGCTGGTTTTTCTGTTTTATTAAGACCCTGATAGAAATAATTCAACATGTAGGCATACATCAGTACTGTAAAATTGTGTTAATCCTTGTTACAGAACCTTTACAAAAGTGGATAAAATTAGGTATTGGTTTTAATCTTTGCTAATCATCCTGCCATCTAAAAAGATGATTCTCATCACTTCCCCAAATTCCATTAAAGCTTTTTAAAATTTTCCTTTGAAAGGGAACTGGCATTGTGAGCGGGGGAGGGGTAAGTGAGAAACAATGGAGGGTTTGGTGAGGGGCCTTACTCTGGGTAGGGGAGGCAAATAGGTTGGGGAGGGACACCTGTCTGTGCTTTCTCCTCTCTCTTTCAACACACACAGACACACACACACACACACACACACACACACACTCGGAGCAAAAAGTTTTCTTTTGAAACAGAATGAAGGCCATCAGCACTAGATGTGCTGTAGCCAGAGCATCCCCTTGAGGGACCCTGCACCCGGACCTCTAAAGTAGGAAGTGATAAGGAGGATGCACAAGAAGGGCCCCTTTTGGTGTGGGTGCCGCTGGCCCTTTTGCTCTCTGACCATGAAAAACAGGCTCAGCAACTTTCATTTGCTAACAGTACATCTGCTCTTAACACCTATTTTACCCCCTTTTCAGGGGAGAGGGTAGCCTAGGATTTGTGGGGTAATGTTAGAAAGTTTTGCAAAATGAAGTTTTAATCAGGGAAGCTTTTTTGTTCTGCTTTCCGTGCAGATGTGTGGGGCAGGATGTCATCCTCTGTCTTCTGAGGAACTAAATTATTGTCGGTCTAGGTGGTTAACTATTTTATTGCATTTCTTTAGGGTGGAAATCTCCATATTGTAAAGCTGGAATTGTACACATTTCCTTTAGATAAGGGAGACCACCAAAACATCTTGATTAGACTAGGGCATAAAATTATTTGACCTTTGGATATGTGGCCCCAAAACATTCACTGTTTAATTTTCAAGCATATATATTTGTTTTATAATATCACAGTAAAGGGAAAGTACTGATTCAGTGAAGTTTCATCTTATGAGTCATACTTCTCTGTGTAGCTTGTTATATGCCTGCATATTTTTTCTCTTATACATGTAAATATGTTCCTTCCCAGGTCTTGGGTGGAATTGAACCAAGTCTGTACAGAGGAGACATCTGGTATACCCCTATTAAGGAGGAGTGGTATTATCAGATAGAAATCTTGAAATTGGAAATCGGAGGCCAGAGCCTTAATCTGGACTGCAGAGAGGTATTTACACTGTGATCTCTTTGTGTCTACCTGTCTGTGTGTGCCTGGGTCACTTAAATATTACAGCTGGGACCTGACTATGAAATCAGAAGGTACATTGCTTACAAGATAAATCAGATTCATGACGTGAAAGGTTACAAGGCCTTTTTGTATGGCAAGTTTAAATCAGTGACCCCCCGCCCCCACAAAAAATATTGCTTCCTTACAACTACTCGGCTTAATAGGGAAAAATTATCATAAGATGGTGAATGAGGAGAACTTTCTACAGTTACACCGTTCACCATTCATCTTGGCCCGATGGTCCCTGAACTCTGTTTAAGAGGATGATATAAACAGGTTTTTATCAGTGCAAGGGGACAAAAAATAAGCAAAATGAAACCAAAAATAAATCATCAGCTTTATCCTCTATTCACAGCTAACCCCCCTTTCCCTGCAGCAACAATTCTTACTCGAAGAAAAGTTATGCTCTAAAGATGTGCGTGGCTTCCTGGTGCTAAAAGGAGGCAGATGTGCAGAGCTGTGAAACCAGATCTCTTATTAACCTTCTTGACACCCTCTGACTGCGTTTCAGCTTATTTCTGGCACGTAATGACATGATGAGGAGGAGGACTTGAGGCAGCCTCAGTCTTCTACAACATTTTCGGGATGGTTTATAAAAACCACCAACATTTCATTATATTTCTACCTGTCACCACTTCCTTTCATAGTAACCATCACATTCCTCCATAAATTCTCATATACACGGATGCCTCTGAAAAACCAGTCAAATCTTCATGAAGTGATGGTTCATTCCACGGTGAGAATGTTTCAGTCCTCACATCTGTTTATTGTCAAAAGGCACTTATTTTCTGATAAAGAATCCAATGGTAGCATCAAATGTGAGGGCCTATAATAAAACACAAACTGTGTGTGTGTGTGTGTGTGTGGTTGTGTGTGTGTGTATTAGAGAGTATAAGCATATATTTAGAGGTTTGATTCTTAGATTCTTGGTTCTTTCCTGCCCCCCCAATAGGCCGCCCACCCCACAAAAGAACAAACAAGACCCGGAACATCCCACCACAACATTTCAGCTTGCTACAGGCCTTTCATATATTTTGTTTTCTTATGTATACAAAAAGTGATAATTTTCTGAACTAGCTCATATTTAAATTAACTTTGTTTCTAAACTGAAAATAATTTTACATTTAAAGAGAGTAAGAATAAATTGGTATATTTCAATTTCTCGAAATTCTTCGTTCCTTCCCCCTGCTACCTAGCAACACCTTATTTCCTTTTGACCTGAGTGGTGTATTTGGTCCTGACTCATGGATTTGCCTTAAAAGCGGGAGGATTACATTGCCCATGACTTATTCCATTCCTGGGTGGCCTTGCTCGTAGTTATGTCCCTGGTGGTTGGAGTGGCTTGTCTTGGTGTTGGCCCGCTGACCTCCGTTCTCCTGACTTGGCCCCATAGAGGATGGTGGAGGTGAGGACAGGGCTGGCAATGCCTCTGTGTGTGTGTGAGATTCTCTCACTGTATCTAGCTCAGGTTTCCTTCCAAATGCAAATATCGGGTATAGAAAAACTACCCTTCCTTCTTCTCTTTCTCCATTAGTGGGATAGTAGAGAGTTGTTTTTGTATGATTGGTGTAAATGGCCTTTAATGTGTCGTTTCAACCTCTAAAGACAAACGGATCTTCCTTCTTTGCCCCTGGGGGCTCCTTGACAAGGGAATTTGGACATCTCCAAATAAGAGAAAAGCGCTGCCTTGGGAGGGCTGTTGATTTTGGTCATGCCACTTCCCTTTCCTAGCCTCAGTTTCCTTATCTGTGAAGTGAGACTGTTGGGTTAGAAGATCCTTAGTTCCCAAGTTCCGAGAATATAAGATGAACTGTAGCCACCGATGAGGTCCCAGGGCTGCACGAATTTGTACACAGCAGATGCACAGGGGTGGCGGCCTAGAACCATGTGTTGCTATGGAGTGCCACGTCACTCGTGTGCCTTCTCCCCCCATTCTCCCCCATTCTAGTACAACGCGGACAAGGCCATCGTGGATAGTGGCACCACACTGCTGCGCCTGCCCCAGAAGGTGTTCGATGCGGTGGTCGAAGCCGTGGCCCGCACGTCTCTGGTGAGTCCTCAGGATGCTGAATCTTGGAGAACGAGTCATGACCACATGCTGGGGAGTGTTACTGTGTGTTATTCTAGTAGTCTCCATCTGAGTATTATGAGGAGTTGGAGTTTTTTCTTAACTATTACTTATTAAGTTCACAATCTTATTAAGTTCACAATCTTATTCTTTGACATTAACCAGCAAATAAGTCCTTCACTTTAACCTCAGAGGACTTGGATCTGAAGGTGCAGTGCTTTTTAGTATTTCAAATAACAGTGTAGTTGGTGTAGCACTTTTTTTTTAATCTAAGAAAAGAAACACTTGGTAATATACTTCACTCGGGCCTCCATCTCCACAAGTTCTGTCTCCACGATTCAACCACCTGTGGATGGAAAGGCCTACGATGGTTGCGTCTGTACTGAACACATACAGACTTTTTTCCTTGTCGTTATTCCCTAAATAATACAGTATAACCACTATTTACATAGCTTTTACATTGTATTAGGTATTACAAGAAATCTAGAGATGATTTAAAGTATACAGGAGGGTGTGTATAGGTTATGTGCAAATACCATGCCATTTTATATGAGACTTAAGCATCCACGGATTTTGGTGTCCACAGGGGTCGTAGAACCAATCCTCTGCAGATACCAAGGGGCAACTGTATGTTAAAGTAAATAGTAAACCAGGCATATGTTTGTAGTCTTTAAAACAAAACAAATAAACCAAAAACCTTACTCCTTTTTGGCCTTCATCCAAGCCATGCTGGGATTTTAATTCTTACTTTTGTAAAAGAATGTAGGGGGCCGGCCCCGTGGCTTAGCGGTTAAGTGCACGCGCTCCGCTACTGGTGGCCCGTGTTGGGATCCCAGGCGCGTACCGTCGCACGGCTTCTCTGGCCATGCTGAGGCTGTGTCCCACATACAGCAACTAGAAGGATGTGCAACTATGACATACAGCTATCTACTGGGGCTTTGGGGAAAAAGAGGAGGAGGATTGGCAATAAATGTTAGCTCAGGGCCCGTCTTCCTCAGCAAAAAGAGGAGGATTGGCACTGATGTTAGCTCAGGGCTAATCTTCCTCACAAAAAAAAAAAAAAAATGTGGTCCCCAGAAGGCAAACGTCCATCAGGCAGATATAATAATTACCTTATGGTCATTGCTGAAATACAGTTAAAATCATGGTCAAGGACGACATGCCTCTGGGGGACCTGGCTGACAGTATTCCCAGTGTGACCCCAACTTGCCAGTTAATTTAAGGCAGCAGCATGGACCAAAGGGCATTGATTGGAAGGAAGACAGCTTCGGAGGTCAGACGGAACTGAATTTAGTCCAGTTTCTGCCACTTATGAGATGAGCGCCTGGGAGAAGGATATTGTGCCCTCTGAGAGCCTCCATCTTCATCTGCGGGTTGTTGTGAGGGCTTGGGGTGACATGCCTGGCACAGTGGGTGCATGGTAAAGAGGAGCTTCTATTTAATGTCCAAACCACGGCTCGACTACTATTTGTTTGGACATGAGATTCACATTTTTCTCTTGGGTGTTTTCATAAGCATCTGTCCACGCAGGGCTACCCTCGCCAGGTCACCAACAATGAGTGTTTCCTGCACAAAGCCTTTATCCTGGTGCTAACACAGGGCTGACTATGCCACCGCTCTGCTGGGATGGCTGAATTCAAAAAACAGTTGATAGGAAAGTGCACAGCAGCTGCCTTGATACAGGTGACAGCAGAAACATGGAAAGAAGAGAGGCCTGTTGGTTGTCCTGAACCAAAACTTCAAAAGTCTAGAACTGTGGTGGGAAGAACAGCAGGCAAACCAAAAGGATGCAGAGGGGAAATGAAAAAGAAATAACACAGAGGCCCTTTTTGAACTAAAATCTTCAAGGCAGCAGCCTGGAGCAGCTGCAGCCAAGAGCAAAGCCCCTACCTTGTCTGATTTCTGCTGAATCAGAGAAAATGGCAGGTAGTGTTTTGGTGCCTTACATTTAGAACGCTGGCTGAAAATCAGACCGTGCTTGAAATAAGGGGCAATATGCTGATTTTCTTCAGTAGTGAAAATGTCCTCAGCAGAATTAATGTGAGCATCTTCAAATTTAATATTCCGAGCTATAAATGTCTTAGACTGTCCCAAGGACACGCTTGTAACGTCACCGTGTGACTCCAGCAAGCCCTTGACCAACCCGGGCGTCTGCGGAGTCTGAATTCAGCCCTCCTCCAAGCCTGAGAAAGCGGGCGGCCCCGACAGGCATTAGCCCTCCTGAGGTCATGGCCGCATGTGTTCAGCAGCGACTCTAAGAAAACCACGAGGCAGGAGGAAGGAGATGACGAAATCTGTTTGCCTTGTCTAAAATTATTCTCTGATTTCAGTGCCTGCATCAGGAAGGCTGTTTGTCTCGGGCAGGGAAAGCTCAACAAGGTGGATGGTGTCCGTGTCTCATTCTGTGGGGACCAAAGATGTGTTTGTTCTTCTTATCTCCTGGGTTCATCTCAGCCAGCTCTCTTGGCTTGGGTTTTCTTTCTAACTAAGGAAAGGGCTGGCTTTGGAGAGTTAGACACAGTACAAAGGTTGGGCTCTCTCTCTTGGCCTGGATTGTTTAGATAGGACTTTAGAAATGAATGATTTGTAGGTTTGTATTTTGAAATGAGCCTGATGGGGAGTTTTGTGTACGGCGGAGGCCTGGGATCCCTTCCTGCCCAGCCACGGCGCCCATGTAGCTGGGTCCCAGCGCCTCTCCATCTGTAAAATCCAGAAGCAGGATGACACCCACTTTAAGATGACTTCTGACTTTAGAACTCTGCAATCTGAGAGTCGAAACTGTCCGCCAAGGGCACATGGCTCAGCCCCTAGGGAGGCCTTCCAGACTTACAGTCACCTCTTTGGAGGCAGACGGTCCCCCATCCAATTCTGTGCTGTGTCCCTTAGGTGAGTTACATGGCCCCTCTGAGCCTCACCTCATTCTTCATCTGCAAATGCAGCTTGTCATAACGCCCACGCTGGAGCTCTGTGCCCTCGGTGCAGGCCCAGCCACCCTTAGATCTTCCTCGAATCCAGCAAAATGACTGCCCCGCCCCTTATCAACTCATCTGGCAAGGGGTTCATTCCTGTGATGCATATTTCAAATCGACAACTTTTATAAAAGGTTAAAATATATTAATGGCAGCATTAGTGTGCCCTGTAGTCTCTTCGCCCACCTACAATGGACAAAGAGACCTCAGGGCATTTTCCCCCCATTGCCCTGGGAGGGGGGTCGGCACCTGCCATGTGTGGTTGTGTAGCACGTGGCTCTCACTCAGTGTTCATCCCCTGACACCCACAGTATTCTCAGTTCTTGTCCTGCTTCGTCTCCACAGCATCCCTGATCACCTGGCTTCCTCCATGGAGGGTCTCTTGGCTTCTCTAACACCCTCCTCCATTGATGTCTTCCATCCTGGGCCCCTCTTCCCAGAGGTCTCCTTTGCTGGCCCATTTCTTAGGGTGGGTCCTAGGCACCTCTCTGCTCCCTGAGCTGCCTCCTAAGCAACACCACCTGCCCCTCAACTCAACCCATGTGTCTCTTCCTCAGGGATGCTCCCTTGACAGACACCCCTTTCCTCCCAGCACACATCTGCACCCCGGCCCCATCACATACACCTCCAGCTCTGACCTGAGCAGGGCACTGGGCTGGACATGTGAAAAGAGGCACAGCCACCACAGTCCTCCCCTCTGGGAGCTGTAGGCACGGGACAGGCTCTGCTTGGGAACCTTTGCTGGGCCTGGCGAGATGGTGTGGGTGCAATCTGTGATTAACTTGCAGATTCAGCAACTAGTGGACATGCGCGGGTGGCATCGCCTTCTAGTCCCCTGATGAGAGGCACAGGTGGACGTCTTGTGTTCTTGGCCAATAATCTTTTCCTATAAAGATTTCCTGAGTCTCTCCTATGGGCTAAATGTTAGCACTACAAGGGGAGGCAGACAACAGACATCTGTCCTTCAAGGGCTCAGATCCTAGCCAGAAACAAGTTAACCAATAACACCAATAAATACAAAACGACAACTGTTATAAAGAGAAAGGCCAAGGAGGAGAGAGACACGGTGGGCTACCAGTATTATGTGGGGCAGTCAGGGAGGGCTTCCTGGATGAAGTGGCCTCTGGGCTGAGATCTGGAGGAGGAGAAAGATGTTCCAGAAGGACAGGGAGCCCACACAGGGCTCTGCATCAGGAGAAAACTTGCTGGGCCTACGGAATTCAGAGAAGTGATGCCAGAAAGGGCCTTAAGGGCCACATTTAGGATCTGGTCTCTCTTCTAAAGGGTCGTTGCCCACTACTGTGTGACCTTGGGCAAGGTACTTCACCTCTCTGTGCTTTGGTTTCCTCATCTGTAAAGCGGAGGGGATAATGTCACTTACACTCATGGGGGTGTTTGAGGATTAAATAATTAGTGTTGCAAAGGGCTTATAACGGAGCCTAAAACCATAAGTGCTCCACGTGCCTGAGTAATGTGAGTAATTGTTATTTAGTCATCACTGTTACTCTTCCAGGGGACTCATGTCTCCACTGAGCTGTCCAAATGAAACATTGTTGATCCTTGTGGGCATCTGGTGAGGCTACTCGGAGAACTGGGAGCTGCTTCCTGTTGATGTGCCAGACTAGTCATTGTCTCTCACACGATCCTGTTTTGTCTAGATTCCAGAATTCTCTGATGGTTTCTGGACTGGGTCCCAGCTGGCGTGTTGGACAAATTCGGAGACACCTTGGTCTTACTTCCCTAAAATCTCCATCTACCTGAGAGCTGAGAACTCCAGCAGATCATTCCGTATAACCATCCTGCCTCAGGTACGAACTCGGACTGGTGCTTTTCTCTGTTTAACATGGAACATACAAAAGTAAAGCACTTCATGCATGATGCGTGTCTTCAGATATCACTCCTGCATTAGATGTTGATTGCCACAATAATGCTGCGTAACAAACAACCACAAAACCCAGTGGGTTTAATCAATGGGCATTTATTCCTGGTCATGGGTCTGGGCAGGTCTGCTGGGCTCAGCCAGGCTTACTCAGGTGTCTCTGGTCAGCCAGTGATTGGCCTCAGTCTAGGCTGGTCTAGGATGGCCTCACTCACCTATCTGGTGGCTATGTCAATGGAGGGGGGCGCCATTGTCTCTCACTGTCCAGCAGCTGACCCACACAGTGGTGGCAGGGTTCCAAGAGAGAATAAACACTTGGGGCCCCTGGAGTCTAGGCCCAGAACTGGCCACTATCTCTTGCCCAGTGCTGCCCATACAAGGCCGAGGCCAGCCCAGATTCCTGGGGTAGAGAAGTAGATGCCACTTCCCAATGGGAGGAGCTACAAAGTCACATTACAAGGGCATGACTACAGGCAAAGGTCAAGAATTAAAGACATTTTTGCAACATCTACCAGAACACCAATATATATGTTTTTTCCTATTTTCTTATAAATAAGGAATAAAACTGGATTCTCAGGGATGAAGACATCCTTTTCTTCCATATTCAGTAAATCATTGGCTCCTTCTTCTTCCTAAGCATCTGAGTAAGCAGACTAAGTTCTGCCTTCCTTAGTCACGTCTCTCTCCTCTTCCTCTTCCCTCCTTCCCATAGCCCTCACTCATGTCACTCATGTCCCTTCCCCACCACTTCAAGAACGTCCCGAGTACCCTCTGTGTATCCCAAGTCCCCACATTCTCTTCCTGTTAAAACTATTACCAGATTAATCTTCCTAAACCACAAGTCTCGACCCAGCCTCCCTGCTCAGAGCGGTGAGCTTGTCCCCACTATTTAAATGCTGAAGGACTGATTCCCTGGTATGGCTTCCCATGACCCTGGATGCTTCCTTGCTCGCCAGCTACCCCCTGGACCCTCCACCCATTGGTCACTGTCCTCCAGTGCTTCCTGCCTGCTCCCGTCTCCTAACCTTTGCTTCCACCAACCCCCTGCCTGAAATGCCCTCTCCTCCCCACTCCGCCTGTGCTTCCAAATTCTTCCCATCCTTCAAGACCCGGCTCAAACAACTCCTCTTTTGTTGAACCTCTGCTGAGCAGAATAACCCATTTGTGAGTTGCCCTTCAAACTCAACAGCACATTTTCTAGTCTACTCATCTGGCGTGAGATCATATCTTCAGGAGATATGCTATGCTGTTGCCTTGTTCATCTGACTTCTATTTTCTTAAAACACATACACACACATATTTCTTCCTCAATTAAATTTTTAATTCCTCCAGGATGAGAACCACGAGTTTTAAAAATTATCTTTCCTTCCCTAGCACTGCCATGCAGTGGAGGGCGGTGCCTAATAACCATTTGTTGAATGGATAAATCAGCGTGTCTTTGTTGTGATTTGGTGAAATTGGCAGAAAGGGGTGGGATTTGGGCGATAGGGAAGGAGGAATAATTGCAGAAGAAAAAAAAGTAAATGATAATCCTGCCTTTACCGCATTTCCACCTTTCTGTGTGGGGATGTGCATTCCAGAAATAGAGAGTGGTTGGGGAAAGGATTGGAAGCCTCAAGACAAATACAGCTCGACAGAGGACACACAGGCTGAGCACGAGAGGCTGGAGTTACACCCTCAGCCCTGCCCTTGACTCACACTGTCACTTTGAGCAAGTCTGTTAGCCCTTTCTGTGTCTGTCTCATTAACAATAAAGGAGAAATAATCATACTTGCCAAAGACATTTTCAAAAGACTGCAGTATCCTTGGATGAATGGCACGGCATAGAGTGATGTTAGAATGATATGTTTGCAGCATCTTTGAAATAATGTGCTCTTTATGATTCAATTTTGGTCTGTCGAACAGCAAAACGTGGACATTGTTTCGTCAATGTGTGGTAACTAAAGTTGAAATCTACCTTGAGGACAAAGGTGAATGTGTACTGGTAAACAAATGGCACGTGGGTTGGTTGGCACAGTCAGCAACTCATAAGAAGCAAGAGAAAGAAGCAGGCATTCAGGGGAAATGTAGTAACACCAGGCGGGGAATAGCCATCAGAGCTGAAGCTTCACCGGGGATCACAACTGCTTTTAGGACTGAGCCTGGGTGAGCACAGGAATATTATGAGGGAAGGTTGGGAGTGTTGCATTTAATTTGCATATCTCTACATAAGAATTCAGTATTCTTATCCCTTATGAGGCTGTAGATATTTTTTGGTTGACTTGGACATGTTCACTTTTTTGATTTTTAAAAATCTGCTTTCCCTGTTGTTTTCCTGATTTCTTATTCAATGTCCTGTTCCATTTTCTTTTCATTGCCATGTTGGAAAGGATTTAGCTCGCTGGCAGTTGTGAACGATCACCTGATGAGAACCTCATAAGTCCTATGAGGCTTATGCCAGTGACACGCCCCTTAGGGTCAGCACTTGGGGGGTCATCTCCTAACACCACAGCTCTGCCTGCCCAGCCTCCTCCCTAATCCCTTTAGGGCAGTCACCAGGGGTGCTTGTCACCAAAGGTTTAGAATGGGGCCCCTACCCAGGACCTTCCAGGCATCAGCAGTAGTAGATAGGCAAATGATTACTAGTACAAAAAAGTCAGGTCAAAGGAAATTATCTTAAATTTTGCCTGTCCCCAACACTATTTTCCAGACATACAGGGGCTGGACCCTGTTTGCAGCCCCAAACTCTAGCCCACAGGCGAATTCTGATTTTTTTTTTCACATAACCCTAAAAACGTAAATAGTTTCAGTCTAAATACCACTGGTTTGTCAGTTTGTGCTATTTTAGTTTAAGGCAGGCAGTTTATTCCGAGATCCAGCAATACTGCTGCTTTCCCAACATGTTACAAAATTTACAGCCTGGAACTTTTATTGCAAGTCGGCTGGGACACACATAGGAAGGACAGAGTAAAAGATACAAATTCAGTTTTCATCTTGTTTGCATCAGTATCATCAGTTGCATCATGTTTGATAATTGTTTGGGATTTATTATGGAATTAGTTCATTCTAAGGTAGGAGTGTGTGTAGATATGTGTGTGTTCATGTACATTCCTACGTCCTGCTTATGGAACCTTAAATGAAAGTGTTTCGGTGGCAGCTAAGTGTCCCCCACCTTTTCCTAATTTAAGTGGATCCTGAGAAGTTGGGGATTTCATTTAACACAGATCCAGCTTAGCACCACTCATTCACGTGACCCACATGTATGGAGGCCCTCCTATATGCCTTGCATGCACTAAATGCCTCAGTTCCAAGAATATAGTGAAGAACAGAATGGTTCCATGCCTTGATGAGGGTTTACAGACCATCAGTGAGAGGTTCTCACTGCCGGAACAGTTCTCCGGACACAGCAGCTGCTCGATGTCTAGCTGTGTACTTGCTCACCTCCCTGCCTCAAAACCCTCTTCCCCTAATCATACCTGCATGTGGCAAGTGCAATGACCTTCATCTTCTTCAGGTGTTGGCTTTATCACATACGGTTAATCCAGCAAGACTTCTTTTTTTTGTGTGTGTGAGGAAGATCAGCCCTGAACTAACATCCATGCCAATCCTCCTCTTTTTGCTGAGGAAGACTGGCCCTGGGCTAACATCCATGCCCATCTTCCTCCACTTTATGTGGGACGCCGCCACAGCATGGCCTGACAAGTGGTGCATCGGTGCACGCCCAGGATCCGAACCTGGGCCCCCAGCAGTGGAGCACGCGC